CGGGCCCGCGGCCGGAGCGGCGCCTCCCGGGGCGCGGCCGGAGCGAGCGTTCTGTGCCGGGCGGTGTTTGATTGGTTCTCTTCTCTCCGCTAGGGCGAGACCACGGATTTCGAGCTGTTAAAGCATCAGCTGTCAGATCCGGACATCAAGGTAGAGTCCTGGGCGTAAGGGCTCTGATGTGAGGCTCAGCTGCCCGAGTGTAGTCATCAGACTAGTCATTGCCGTGCCTACCCAAGTCCTTTGTTTTAAACTTCTAGCTGCGTTTAACAGCCTCGTGGTTTGTGGAAACGATCAGAATTAAAACCTTAAATAAAAAAAAACCAAACCACCCCAATTCTCTGTTTCTACTCATATCTCTTACAGGATCCTGGTGAGTGATGTCTTATGCTTACTGACTCCTTGTTCTGGAGGGAAAGCCTTTTGCTTTATTAAAGGGTCTTCCTTTGTTCCAGATACCATCTTTTTTAGGTCACTGATGCGTATTTTTACAGATAATTCTGTAGATAAACCGTGGATTTTGACTTTCACAGCCTTTAAGTTGCATGGATTTTTACCTTCTCCTGTTCTCATTAGGTACTTAATGAGGCAGTGAGATACATAAGTATTTACAGAGGTGTTGTGTCACAGCTCTTCAGTGTAGCTGTGAGTACCCACCACATTTTTGTCCATTTTTTTTGCTTTTAGTTAAACAACAAAGCAGTGAGAAGAATGCTGCAGGAAGTGTAATGCTACATGAAGTTCTTTTTCTCTTTAAAGAAGACATTTTGTAAAACTTTGTTTTTAGTGGGCCTTTTGGGGTATACAGGCAAAATCAGTCTAAAATTTTCTGGTAGATTTGCCACTGTTTCAGTATCTGCCTTATCTGAAAACTTGGATGTCCCTTCTGCTTAAACTAGAGAAAAAAAGAAAAGAAAACTTGGCTTGGATGCCTTTTCTTTTAAATATCTTCTGTGTGGGCGAGGCTTGCATACCTTGCTCAGGCTGTTAACTTCAACATTCCAGGCAGGCTGTTGCTTCAGGGTTAATATAAGTTTATTTTCTCATTCAAGAGCTTTCATTAGTGAGGACACAAACTTTAAGAAACTCTTTGTACGTTAGTGTAAAAATAATTTCTATTTACAATCTTAATCCTTTTAAGTATTTTGTTATTTTCTAGTAATAGGTGGCACTGTTTACTACTGTAGTTATCTGTTTTTTTCTGCTTATTTTAAGGATGCCCAGATCATTAATTGGCTGCATGAATTTCGAGCTTCTGTTGCGTATTTGACCAAAGAACTTGAACAACTGGTCAGCATTTTGCTGGTAAGTGTCTGTTTGTTACATGGGAACGTTAAGAGTTTAGTCACTCAGAGGCTTCTTCTTTGACATCTTGCTCTGTGCGTGCTTGCAGAAGCTGCCGTGGTTGAGAAGAAGCCAAGAGGTGGTGGAAGAATATTTGGGTTTTCTGGGCAATCTAGTGTCAGCACAAACCGTCCACCTTAGGCCGTGTCTGCGGATGATCGTATCACAGTTTGTTCCCCGTGAGTTGTTTTTCTCTTGTTCTAACTTGCTGGCATGTCAAAATGTCTTTCCTAGATAAATCCTGTATAAGTACGCAGATTTTTCTCCTGTGGGATCACTTTCTTAGCTTGAGTAGCTGAATTGTAATACAGGTAGTTTTCTGTACCTTGACTTTAGAGGACATTGCAGTGGCTAATACAGACCCTGGTTAGGAAGATGCCTTGGAAAGGAGGCTCTCTATAGTGTTGTCACTAAGAAACAGAAGCTGCAGTGAGTATCATGCCAGATGTTCTCAAGAACCTCCTGGTTCTCTGAGTGAAACAGTCTTTTTTTATAAGCTTCTGCTTATTTTATAAAGTCTTTTGGACAATTTTAGTGCTTTATACCTGATGAAGATTGTTATCCAGTGTCACATGTAAGATTTGTACAATTTTGATATATAATCTCACTTTTTGTTAGCTCGAGTAACCATCAGAGAAGATGATGTGGATATTTCAGATTCTGATGATGATGATGAAAGTGAGTATAAAGGAAGCACGGCTTATATATGCTGCTGTCATACCTTTACTAAAGTAGTATACGGTGCATGTTGCTCCTTTTGTACAAAATTCAGTTGAGATAATGTAAAAAGTTAAGAAACAATAAATCCTTACATTCCCAAGTCAAAGATTTCTTGTACGCCAGTCAGTGGTGTGCTGACCCGCTCCTTCTTACCTTCAGAACATCCCTGTTGATGCAGTATCTGTAGGACTGAGACTGAATGCATAGGAGGACATCCCTAGTCTTAGCTGGTTTCAAAACCAAAGAAAAATTAGGAGTGTTTTTCTGTTTCTTTCACAGCAATAAAACTAGGCAGTCTGGGAGATATTTGTCTTTTTGTTGTCTTCCTGTGGTAAACTCAAATACAACTGATATTTATACCTAAAACTCCACATCTAGCCATGATACTTGGATTTAAAATATCTTTAAATACTTGTGTATTGTGGGGTAAATTTTTGGTTTTCCAAGTTTAGCATACTGTGTAATGACAGTACCCAGCCTTGGTGCTGGAAGTACGTTCAGAGTTTTCTTTGGAATTATTTTTCATGCATGTTTTGGTAGTGAGTCAGTTCAACTTAAAAAAAAAAAAAAAAAACAACAAAATACCAAAGTAAAACATCCTCCACAAAAAATCCAGACTGCAGAAACCAACCAACCAAACCCAAAGCAAATATTTTGCTCATGAAATTTCCTTGGGAATCTTTAAAATGTTCAGTTGATATGAACCAGTTTTGCTGGCTCCTGCTTTAGTTTTCTGTAACCAAAAGCATAAGAGTACTTTTTTCTTCCTCTAGACATTTCTGAAAACTTTAATACATGCCATAGAGCGTTACAAACTGTTGCAAGATATGTTCCTTCGTAAGTATATAAAGCCCTGGGGTTTTGTGCCCTTTCCTTGCAGATTTAAAGTTTATGAACTGATTGAACTGATGATTTTTTTTTTTCTCTTAATTGGAAGTACAGTACTTAGTTTCATTGCATGATATTTCCTAATGTTCACTAGCTGAATCATTATGAAATTTCCATAGACAGCATCTGAAAATCCTGTTAATGGAAATAGCAAGTAGGGAAAATCATGTTTATAGCAACATATTTGAAGTGGCTTCTGACAAGTCCACAGTGGAAGCCTGCTGCTTGTTATCTGTTAGTTGAACCTTGCAAAAACAGATTTTATACTATTGTGTACCTTAAAATAAAGTTACTGTGAAATAAGCTTACTTCAGTCTGTCTTTAGAGTGCTGGAGCTTCAATATTTGCTCTCGTGGTAATAACCTATAACTTGGGGGGGTTCTTGTTGAATTGTAGGACACCACAATTCCTCATGCCAATACTCGTGGAAAACTTTCCTTTCATTAATAAATCAGAAAGAACTCTGGTAAGAGCTGTGATATTTTTATTTGTTCACTTGTTTTTTTAGCATATAAATATACTCTGTAATGTGACAAGCAGGTGGTATCGAATGCAGAATTTTGAATGTGTTGTTTCAAACTCCTGTTACATTTTGTCTGTGTATGTATGTATCTGTGCACACAGTTGTGTTCTAGTGTAACCTCCTCCAAGCGTGCTGACGTTCCTGGGGCGTAGCAGGATGCTGGTCTTTAAGGATGTGACTGCCTATGGTTTTCCACAGGATTGCTCTCTCAGTCAGTGCACAAGATGGACCTCTGACCATCAATCTCAGGGTTGTAAAGTAAGGAGACGGTCGGATACTGTCTCTTTTGTTGTCAGAGTTGGGAAGTGTTTGTCAGAGGAACAGAGGCTTCAATAAGCAGATAGAAGGCAGCGGGTGTTACAGGTGGAATCCGAACTGGCAGTTGTGTTAGGGTGTAAAGCTCTTTTATTATTACATCTTTGATATAGGGCTGATGTGTGGTGAAAAACAAGCTGGAAACTTTTGGCAGGTTACTGCTCTTGTGTGATCTTTTATATTTTCTTGTTCCAACTGGATATGTTAGCACTTCATGTTACAGGAGGGCTGAGCCCTGCTCCACCAGCCAAGTTCAGCTGGAGCTGTGTTTTAAACTCAACTTCACCTCCAGCTCCTCACCAAGCTGCAAAATAAATCAAATATAGCCTGTTTAAACCCATTTCTGGTTCCTTAGATAGCAAATACAGAATTTTTCCTAAAAATCCTTGACAGAAATTAGACTTCCTGTTAACATTATTATAGCTATCCATTAATTTTGTGTTCTAGGAGTGTTATGTTCATAACCTGCTACGAGTTACGGTGTACCTTCCAACCCTGAGGCTTCAAATTCTGGAGCTTATTATTGAAAAGCTGTTAAAGTTGGATGTAAGTTTGTTCTGTATCATCTTTTAAGGAAGCTTGGTGTTAAAATACACAGACTGGGAAACTGAGTATGCTCCAGTGTCATGCTCAACCAAAACCAGGTTGCAGTAGTGCTCATGAGTATAACACCAACCAAGTTTACACTCTATTCCCAGTCTTAAGATATTCACACACCCAAGGGTAACTGTATGATGTGTACTGTTACACTCTGTGTGGATTATCTATGCCAGAATCAAAATAACTGATCATAGTGATCAGTGCTAGTGTGTAGAGAACATGCTTCTCTTTGCATGGTTGATCTGTTCTATCATAGTTTTGAAGTAAAAGGATTTAAAGTCTTGAAAAAGACAGGAGGGTTAGCCTTGTAAATGACTTAAGGCTTTTGAAGATTCTCAGCATATTAAGTTTGGGGAAAGCTTTACTCTAGAGGGAAAGTTTCAGGCAGTTCAGAGTGCATGTTTTTGTATAACATGTATAATTCCATTTTTAAAATGTTTATTTGGTCAAGGACAAAATCTAATCTAGAAATTACATTTCTTATATAAATAATAAAAGGTTTCATATTATTGTCATGGTCTTATAAAAATTAATTTCTTGTTTGCAACTGTAGGTTAGTACACCACTACAAGATATTGAAGATGCTGAAGAAACTGCAAATAACTCTGATAGTGAGAAAAAATCTACAGAGGAGGGACTTTTTGACATGGTTCGTGGGGATTTTTTAGTAAATTTTCACTTTTGAGGTTGCTGTGAACTGAGACAGTGTAGGAGTACATTATTGCTTTGTGTTGCTGCAGGCACACAGCTCTTGAAACCTGAACAGCTGGCACATGTTTAATGTGCTCTCAAGGTCTTGACTTTATTTGTGTAAATACCCAGGGTACATGCTGTGAAACAGTTTCATTATGTAAAAACACAAGCAGCTGTACATAAAGCTAATTAAAAAATTCATGACAGTTGGCTTAGCTTACACAAATTTGCTTACACTAAACTGTGTAACTGGATTTTCTTTAAAAAAAGACAAAACTGTAGCGTATCACTGAAGGAGAAATTTAGTTCCACTTTTCTTGTAATTGCTGTCTTTATGATATTGCATATATAAAAGCTGCATGACTCCTTGTCTCATTTACCAGGAGGAAGATGAAGAAAGGAAAGGAAACAAAGTTGTCTCTTCCAGTGGGGAGAGGATGGCCCATCCACTTGCAGAGCGCCTTGATATTTTGATGACCATCCTGTTTTCCTATATTAAGGATGTTTGCCACGTGGATGGTAAGAACACCTGGAGCTATGACTGAATTTGTTGTTTTGCTAACAAGTAAGAAAAACATAAGAGAAGTTCTTGGTTTCTGCTGCTGTAAGATAGAGCCCTCACCCTTCAGTGGCAGACTTCTGCCATCAGTGTGTAGTCTGCGTTCCTGCCTCTGCCTGGGGTTACAGGTGCAAAGGTTTAGTCTTCAGCTGGAGACGTTCTGATTATATAAATATCACACTGTATCAAAACTGTGGCATTACAGGCTGTAAGGGTAAGGAAAGTTTTGGTCTCTCATTGTTAGCAGTAGAACTGGAGTACTGGAAGTTTCTACTGTAAATATCTTCTAGATGCCAGATAAGCCTAGAATTTGGCTTGAATAGTGTTCCTTCACATATTTCTTACTGATTTAGAAAGATAGAAATGTCACTTCTAGAGCATGAGGGCAAAAAAAAATCCTGAAATGGCTCACTTTGTTCTGTTTTCTTTTTTTTTTTTTTATGTAGGCAAACTTGATATGAAGAACACAAAGGATTTGTATCGGGATCTGGTTTCTGTTTTTGACAAGCTCATTTTACCAACCCATGCTTCCTGTCACGTACAGTATTTCATGTTTTACATCTGTAGCTTTAAATTGGTGAGTAGAGGCTGGGTTTAAAATGCAATGTCTTCTGTCATTTCTGCATTCTTGTTTTGCCATCTTTACAAAAAACAGCTCGCTGCTGTAATTCTAGTCTGAAGGCAGTATATCAGGATTCATTAGTAACTTTGCTTTCTTCTCCTTCTCTGTTACTACTTTCTTCCAAGTTTTTCTTCCTGTAGTTGCTCTTCCCATGCTGTTCATAAATTGCAAACAGGTGGAATCTAAGCTACTGTGAAGGAGCCTGGTTAATGAACCTCTTCTACAGGAATCGGCTGGACCCGAGGCATGATGCTCCAGCAAGTTTCTTCAGCATCCCAAAACTATCTTAAAGATGCTGTCTGGGTTAGCTCTTCAGTCTGAAAATTGCCCACTGTTTGTTTGCCCCCTCATTTTCCCATCTCTCTCAAGAACTGCTGTTCTTCCTTTTACCATATACAAATAAGAACACGCATACTTTTTGTGTAGGAACAGCTAGAGATCCAGTTAAGCTAATGCCCTGTCTCTGACAGTGGTGAACAGTGAACGTGTTGGAAAGAATATCAGAGTGGGGCAGGCATGTTAAGATGCTGTGCTAAAATACCCTCTCAGCTTCCAGCAGCAGTCCAAAAACTTCCTGAGCCAAAGTGATGTTCTGTCATGGTAACGGGCCGTGGTGGACAAATCCAAGGAGAAATATCTCATGATATTATACTTTTTGTACTGACGTGAATTCTGGGCAGCATGAATTTCTGTGGCAAAAGTTCCACAATACAACCAGTTAAGGTGAAGACTCGCTTTTGTTTCCCTGAATTATTCTTCCTGCTGTTTTCCTTGGATGTTTCTGACCTCTTCTGCTGCAAGAAACATTGAACTGTTACTTCATGTTTACCTTCTTACCTTCTTGGTTTTAAACACTACTGGTGGATCTGTTCCTGACTTTTTCTTAGGCTTCTGGTTTCATTTACTTTTTACAACCAGGTATAGAAAAAGGCACAGAAAAGAGTGCTCTTCCATCACAGACAGGAAGTTGCTTACTACAGTTATAAGTAGATGTTTTTAGTGGTTTGATTATGGAAATTATGGGATTTGAGTATTAGGAATCTATTACTTAAACAGTGTCATTTGTGTAACAACTCATGGTTTCTATGTATCTTGTTTCCAGGGTTTGGCTGAGGCATTTTTAGACCATCTTTGGAAAAAACTGCATGATCCAAACAACCCTTCAGTGATCAGGCAGACTGCTGGGAGTTACATTGGCAGCTTCTTGGCAAGAGCTAAATTTATTCCAGTTGTGTAAGTTCCTTTGATATGAGCAGAACCCAACAATTCATTATGATTGGTGAGGTTAAGTACAGAATTCACAGAATGCATACACAGTGTTGGCCTTCTATTCCCACTGCTTTGCCAGTAAGCCTAGATCAATAGTTTTCTTTGTCTTTGCTACAATATTGTTTCAGTATTGTCTTGAAGTTTCAGGAAAGTTTTGTATTTACAGGATGCAAAGTAATGATTTCTGGGGTTCATGACTTGCTGTTTAAGGCTTCACTTACCAAGAAATGCTGAGCATGGGTAGGTTATGTTGACTTCAGGCAGAGTCACGGATGCCCAGTATATCTGATGTTCAAAAGCAGATATTTTTAATGCCCTATGTTACACAATCTGTGTAGACTGAGCTGGGGAAGTCAAGTGTTGTAGTATTTTGATACAGATGGATTAAAGTACTTCAGCAGATGGGTGAAAATGTCTTCTTTTGTTACACAAACATTCTGTATTTTTATGCTGTTCACGGTGGGCTCAGTGAATTCAATATTGAACTTAATTTGATGCTGGAGTTGTTTGTTGGACAGGGATGCATCTCTCTCTGTACTGCCTGTAGCACAGAATTCTAATTGTTTACTCGGTGTTTCATGTGCAACATGTGATCTCAGATTCATCTCTGCTGGCTTCTTGTCCTTTCACTGATTTGGGTTTTTAGTGCCAACACATTGATTCATTTTATGCTGAAGGAACAAGCTCATAAAAGAACTACCTTTTTTACAGTGAGATTTTCTTACCAATGTTTTTATAACCACTGAGATCTTTGAATACTTGCATAACATCTTTTCTAGACCATTTCAGGTGCTACTTTTACACTTTTTCTCCTACATTACAGGACAGTAAAAGCATGCCTGGATCTTCTGGTGAGCTGGCTGCATAAGTACATTGATAATCAGGACACAGGGGCTAACGCTTACTGCGACGTAGCTCTCCATGGGCCGTTTTATTCCACATGTCAGGCCGTCTTCTATACACTGATTTTTCGTCATAAGCAACTTTTGGATGGAAACTTAAGGAAAGGTGAGTATATTGTTTGAATGATATTTGGATTCATCTGCAGGTTTTACTGTTAATGTGTTTTGTAATGATCAATTCAGTCAAGTATCTGATAGCAAGTTTATGTTGTTGTGCTCTAAGTAAAATGAGATGGCTTCTACACCTGTTGATAATCTTCTTTTCCCTCACTATTAAAAAAAAATGTGGTTAGCTCCTCGACATTGCTATCTGGCCTCATTTACTGCATGTCTGAATTACAGCTATATTCCCACTGGTGTGGGCTCTGACTCTATTGATGACTGTGTCTCTCTCAGTCCCTCTGATGGGTGTTCAAGTGTAGTGCCTGTGTAGGAGGGATCCCTCAGCTGCGGCAGGTTACCCTAACTTAGAGCAGCATTTCTGCTGAATGAGCTGTGGGCTAGATCTCTGCTGTAAGAGAGCACCCTGGGATGTGCATCTGTGACGTTGTGCAGAGTGCATCTGGTCAGACTGGTAATTCTTAGAAATTAAGTTCAGCTTCTATGACATATAACTTATATTTGTCATTTGTTCTTATTTCCAAGGTCTGTCATATCTGCAGAGTTTAAATTTTGAGCGCATTGTCATGTGTCAGCTAAACCCCCTGAAGATATGTATACCCTCTGTTGTGAACTTCTTTGCTGCCATCACCAGGTACCTACTCATTTACTTCAATTTCTGCTTGATGCAGGTATTCGTGTGCGTGTCTGAAAACACAGAGCGTAGAACATGAGTTTTGTTGGGCCCAGGAATGAGTATTATCTCAGACAACTCGTGTAACACTGCCTGAATTCTAGGTGGGATGAGTCTGTTTCTGTTTTAATGAAATCCTGTGAAACTGGTTGCTTTGTGTTAGAGCCAATATGGTTCTGCTTGGGATGACGTTTATAGGACTGTAGGGGAAGAGAATAGACTCCTTGCCTTTTGGAAACTCCTAACGTCAGTTGGAATATGGAAGGTAGAAGTGACGTTTGTTAAAAAATAACTTTGTATTTCAATACCATCTGAAATTGTTGCTTTTGGTGGGCTAGAAATGCTTATCTTTTCTTTATTGCCCTTTGGAAGGAAGTACCAGCTGGTGTTCTGCTACACGATTATGGAGAGGAACAACAGGCAGCTGATCCCCGTGGTGCGGAGCGGCTCCGGGGGTGAGCTCGTGCAGACGTGCACCAACCCGCTCGACAGCTTCTTCCCCTTCGATCCCTACGTGCTCAAGAGGTATAGCTGAGACATAAACAGCTTGTTCCTGCCTTGTAGAAAATAATGGATTGAAACTGTACAGAACTGTCAGTGTTTCTATCGTTTACTTTCTTCCCTGACTTTAGTACCTTTTATGTGGCATATTTTCACCAGAGATTCTCAAAAGTTTGAATTTAGATTTATCCCCACTGTGACATACAGCAATGAAAAAGGAGCAGGACCTGGTTTTCTGGAAGGTCTAGTTAATATGTTTGGCTTTTGTTTTGCTTCTCCTTGTTTTAAGCAGTGTCTGAAAATATCAAATTAGATGAATACATATTTTGTTGGAGATATGGTGGTATAGTATTGTTAAAATGAAATACATATGACTGTTACTGAATACATTAGCACATACTGTGTTCTCATGCCTTTTTCAGATCAAAGAAGACCATTGATCATTTTTACCAGTTTTGGGAAGAGCTGAGTGCTGAAGATCTTGAGAATCTGAAGAAACCCATTAAAAGGGTAATTTTTTCTAATGAAAACACAGTTCGGCTTTGGCCAAATCACTATCAGCTGCTGCTATTACAGGACTAATTTTTTTTTTTTTAGTAGATATGAGTACATTAAACACCTAGGGGAAGCTGATCGAAATTAGGAAGCTTTAGGGATTGATCCATCCTTCGAGAACACTTCATCCCTCTTCTGCAGAGGAGTTGGTTTGACAGCACAGGACCACTGTGAGCACTTAAAGAACACTCTCAGATCAAGGATGTTCTGATGTCACTGGGAAATCCACTTTGTAAATAGGATTCAGTTCCCATATTTCATTATGAGAGGACATCTAATTCTCTCGCTGTTAAAGCTGGTCATGACGGTTGTAGCACAACCCATACTGTGAGCCCTGCCCTTCTGAAGCTCCTGTGTAGCCAGTTCACCTTCTGCCAGAATGTCTGTCCTCTGACAGATTTTTGAGTCCTTCCAGTGGTGTGTTTTTCTTTCCTTACTGGGGTAACATGTAAAAATACTTCATAGCATTGTTTATTGGTAATATAAACTTTCCTGTAGCATATTGATTAGCAGGCTTGATTATTGCAGCCCTTTGGAATTTATTTTAGAAGTACCCTTTTTGGTCTCAGTATTCATTATTTCTGTCAAATCTTAATAAAGACCTGGAGTATCTTTCTGTTCCCACTGATTCTTTTGCATTTGTGCAGGGTACTTCTGAAGATGAAGATGATGACTTTTTGAAAGGAGAAACCCCTCAAAATGATGGTGTGGTTGGAATTGCTCCCAGTTCCTATGAGTCAAGTACCCGCAGCCCAGTGAGCAGCGTGGGCTCCCCCCCGGACTGTTACGTGCCGTACCCTCAGTGACGTGGAGAATCAGAAGAGAAAAGGTTGAAAACTGTGTGCAGTTTTTTGCTCTGTAAAGAGACTAGCTCAACTTTCCAAACTGGCAAATGTTTAAGTAACTACATTTAAGAAAAATATATTGTTTCTTAATCATCAGATTTCTACAGATATGTTATGATAAAGTCATATGTTGCTAGAAAAGCTTAGAGAATAAATAGGGTGATATTTTACAAATTTCACATTGAAATGTTTTTTATTACTTAAAATAATTTTTTTATAGTTTTTCCTGACTCTTAAAAACTTTGTTTACTAGTGTTTCTCTACAAGGTTTTATATATCGGGGTGAAATTCTGGTCTTTCTTCCTCCTGGTTTGTGTGGGGACCAGGGTTCCATTGCCAGTATCCAGAGTGTACTGGTGGCCGGTTTTGGGTGGGATTCAGGGTGGTGGTGTGGATCCCTGGTAGGGGAGCCACGGATCGAGTGACAGCAACTCTTTTGCACATGTCTCTTAAGCTTTTCCTATCTGTAGAACATTTGTTAAATCCACTTGGTAGTGGAAAGTGTGTTCAGAAGGTAAGTGTTACCACTCCTTAAATCTGTAGCCGATGCACAACTTTCCCAGCTACAGAAGGTCCGGCTTACGAAAGCAATGACTGTTGAAGTGTTGAGAATGATGGAGTAGCTGAATTCTGATTTGTAGATAGTTTTCTTGGGGTGCTAGCGAACACTCTGAGACAGGTATTTATTCTGGGGATTTGAAGCTTGTGAATGCTGAAAATACAACAATATCTTGCCTCGTGGAAAGGAAGTGATGGTGTCACTGGTGTCCTTGTGTCGTCCATGTGTCAGTGTAGAGTTTCTTTGCGTAGGTTTCTTGTCTTCTTTTCGCAGTTGCTGGCTTTTAGATTTTAAGTAAGAATATAAATGGTGGAAAAAAATAAATGTTATTTGTGTAACAGTTGAAAATTTTATGCGTTTGGGTCTAAACTCTAATTATCCTTCTTTAGAGTCTGAACTTGGAGGCTTTCATTTTTATCCAGAGCCAATAAAGGTTGATGCAAACAGTGCAGTTCTTACACCTTTGAAAAAACACATCTGTGTATGTAACTAAGGTCCTCTCTGTAGTCTAGCTTCTGAAAGTTATGATGTTTCTTCTGACAGACTGCAAAAATGAGCTTTGGGGATGATACAGATCGACTGATGCATTTTGCAGTTTATTGTTGGATAAAGTGAGACAGTTTTAGTTTAATTTTAGTCCTCTTTGCTGTCAGTCCTGAGTAATAAACAACATATTTCCATCTGAAATAATTACATTCTTTCCTGGCACAAAAGAGCCCTTCCCAGTTTAACAGCAAGAAAAATGTCCTTGGAAAGCTGCCGTTCTCTGTTCCTTCACTGCTACATCTTCAGCAACAGTCAGACACCTCTTAGAAAATGAGGCCATGTAAAGCTCCCCAGGTTTTAATACCAGGCCTGTGATCCAGGAACTCACATAGCTCATTAAAGTGAGAAAAGAAAGACGTGACATGAAGTATAACATAAAAAACTGTGCAGACATTGAACTCTCTGTTTTGAAGTTGCACAGTTAACAGCCATATACTAAAGGGACTTGCCTGAAACACAGACCGAGTTGGGAAGGGGGTGGTGTTTTTGTAAGCCCTTCTGTGGGAGGTCGGGTGTGCTGGGGGCAGGAGCGGGCAGGCAAGTGGCCAGAGGCAGCTGTTTTGCAACGGATATTTTGTGGGTGCTGACAGTACTGAGAGAAATGCAGCGTTTCTTTTGGATTGAAGAAAGTATCTGTTGTAACTGGTCACTTCCGTGCGAACTGGAGTGGAAGGGCAGAGCTGGGGTACTGGTGGTTTGTGTCCGGGGGCTGTGAGCAGTCCTCAGTGCTCTGGATGTCCTCTGCCGCCGGAGGGAATTTAACTCCGGCTACCACGATTAACAATCTCTAACTGCAGGAAAAATCCCTGTTCTTGAAGGAAAAACTCATCTTTGGAATTGTCTGAAAATTTCGTTTTGTGGTTGCTGGGCGGGAGGACAGGGGAGTTGGTGTAGTTGTGAATTTGGGACTTTATCATACTTATTACGAAACCGATTTCCTACAATGACTTATGGATACTCTGGCTGTGGCCGGAGGAGGGCATCGCTTCAGCATTCCGGTGCCGCAGTCGTAGGGCGGTGACGTGCCCGGGCGTGTTTCTGCCGGCGCCTCTGACCGCTGGAGGCAGCGACCGCCGCCTGGCTCTCTCCCCCCTGCCCGGCTCTGCCCCTCCCGGCTC